CTAAACGCTGGGTTGACTCAAAAAATGTAAGTTTGATTATGGGTTTCTCATAGAATGTAGATAGAGAGAGAGAGGTTATTTGGGACTTGGTTTGTGATTAGTGCTCAGTGTTATACAAATTAGTCTGATAGGGAAGGAACTGTTTGTTTGGAGCTATTTAAAAAGAAATTAAGGATGATTTATTTAGTTGATCTTCCTACAACAAAAAAATTAAACTCGCACTCAAAAAAAATTATTTAACATTTTATTTGCTGTGTAATATATTTATTTAGTTGTACCATTCAAATGTAATATATTTGTTGTGTGATTTTGGTTTTAATTTCATCTCTATAAAATTGAAGTCAGTTAACAAAGAGAAAAGTTCAAATTTAAACAATTATATTGTGCTCTAGTTTTAATTTATCATTTTAATGTGACTGTTAAAAAATATTTATTCTAAATGCTGGGTTGGCTCAGAAAATGTGAGTTCGATTATGGTTTCGCAAAGAATGTAGTGTAACGCCCTCAAAATAATAACATTAATCCCAACAAATAAGACATGCATTGATATGTAAAAGTTCCACATTCTTCCATTTAACAGAATTCCATTACATAAGTATTACATGTTAACAACAAAAGCAAATGCCCTATGGGCTTACAGCTTTCCAAGTTAACACTTGGTTACAACAAAAGAGTACTAACTCATACACATTAAGCCCTTGGCCTGAATTTACATGTAATACATCAAAAAGTAAAACGACAAAAGTATGTCCGCCTCTAGCCTCCCAAGCTATGTCCTTGGAGGTGGCATGCTACCTGTACCTGAAAATGATATTCCCATATAGGGTGAGCCACAGCCCAGTAGAAATACACTAAACCAACCATGAACAATGACTAAAAGATTAGCAAAGCAACCGAGTTGCAAAACAGAAAAGTACCTCTCACTACTGATGGAGCCGGTACTAAATCCGGCGCGGTAACAGCATACACGCGCCCCGTAGGCCCCTGGTCTACCTGCTCACCTTTAGGAGCATACGACTGTTGCACTGACTGGGACGACGAAGCCCCCGGATTGGCCCTCGAGGCCTGCACAGACTGAGCTGGCTGAAAACCCTGCGTCTGCCTAGAACCAGACGCTCCCGAAGTGGCACTCAACTGCGGGCAAAACCTCTTCAGGTGCCCAGCTATACAAGCTACATCACTAATGGTTTTCCTACTAAGGGCATCGGCCACAACATTGGCCTTTCCCGGATGATAATGCAACTCAAAATCATAATCCTCGATGAACTCCATCCATCTCCTCTGCCTCAGATTCAAGTCTCTCTGTGTAAACAGATACTTCAAACTCTTATGAACCTGCTCACCTCTCGGAGCAAAAGACTGCTACACAGTCTGGGATGACGAAGCTCCCGGATTGGCCCCCGAGGCCTGCACAGACTGAGCTGGCTGAAAACATCTTCTCTCGGAGGGATTCTACCACAAGGTCACCTCTCTGTGCCTCTAACACTCTAATCACAAGTGTAGGCTGCGCAACAACAGAAAACAAGGACGCAGCCTCGACAGATTCGCCCAGTAGCAAATCAAACTCGCCAAGTGCGACCAACATCTCCCATTCCCGGATGGCTATACTAGCAACATCACTAATGGATTTCCTACTAAGGGCATCGGCCACAACATTGCCCTTTCCCGGATGATAATGCAACTCAAAATCATAATCCTCGATGAACTATCTCGCTCGAGCCAGAAACTACAACTCTCAGGTCCAGAACCAGGTGCAACCTACTCTCGCTCGAGCGACAAACTCCTCGCTCGAGCGAAGGACCAAAAATCTGGGCAGCAACACTAGGCTCCCAAGCACAACCAACCTGTAACAAACCTGCCCAACACATCCCATAACTCAAAATACAAAGTAAAG